GAGGAGAAAAAACGTGGGGTCCCCCCTAAAATTCCTACCAGACTCTTGATCCGAGCACAGGCCTGGTAAGGCAGGAAGGGGGGGCGATCGAGCGCCCCCCCCCCCTGCACCATACCAGGCCACATGCCCTTGGCATTGGGAGGGTGTCCCCATGCTAATGGGGACAAGGGCCTCCTCCCCAAAACCCCTATCCAGTGGTTGTGGGGGTCTGTGGGCAGGGGATCTTATTTGCATCGGGGGTACCCCTTTAATCAAGGGGGCACCCAGATGCCACCCCCCTTTTGAATGAGTTTATTTACATTGAATTTTAACCCTTTAGTGAATGAGTACCCCTTAGGGGGGGGCGGCATCTGGGTGCCCCCTCAATTAAAGGGGTACCCAATGCAAATAAGCCCCCTTGTCCGCAGACCCCAACAACCACCGAATGCCGAGGGCACGTGGCCTAGTAAGGCACAGGGAGGGGTGCTCGAACGCCCCCCTTTCCTGTCCTGCCGGGCCTGTGCTCGAAATAACGCTAAATCCGAATCAAAAGGAAACTAAACAAATTTTTTGCTGGTGCACATGTCTACCTAACACTATTCCACACATTAGCCTCCCTGTTATTCTATTCCTAACTCTCTTTAATGTAAACTTACCACCTTGTTTGCATTGGGATCCTCTGTGCTCAAGACCTGTACCACCAGAATCTATGGTTTGGCCCTTCTCCTGTAAAGGTTTGGTGGTTCCTTACTGTCCTAAAATAAGGAACTAGATGTATCCAAAATGTCAAATATTTAACAAGATGAGGCTTTGAAAGCCTATTCCTAATTGGTTGTTGTAGACTTTCTTTTCCCTTTAGTTCACTTTTTCTAAAAAAACTCCAGAGTACTCTAACCTTATACAAGCCAATAAGTATTAACAATTGATAATAATGTGCAGGAAGAAGCAATCAGGACATCAGTCCATGTATTGTTGAGCAAATAAATTAGGAGAGATTTCTTCTACCAGTATAAACTAAGCCAGTTACTGTTTTATTGCCTATTCAGTATAAACAGAATATTATTATAAACAGGGTGTGTTTCAAATTCTGTCCAAAACACCCCTCAGAAATAACATTTGATGTCTTGGATATTGGCATTGTGTTTGAAATATCTAGGCAGTGCTGGACCAGATTAGGACATGCAGAGTGAACGAACCAGTCCTAATGGAAAAGAAGATCTGTATTCAGCACGTTTTATAAGACCAAATTTATGTTGTTCCAAAACAAATTTTCTCATTGCCGCCACTATTGGTTAATGGCTTTACAGTTTGGCTTGTGTTCTGTTTAACTTGCCAGGAATATATTTCCAAATGTAGAACTGAGTTTATAAAGCCAATGTGACCAAGTTCTTTTTATGTTAAAGAGCAAGCTGTGCCCAGGCCTCATAGTAAATCACTATTTCCCCCAAAGGCAAAGATTCCTCTGCCTGTTAATGTCACTGTATATGATTAGACTGACAGCAGAGCGTTCCTTGGAAAAAAATAATCAACGTGCATCTAAACCCAATTATTTAAACCTCATAAAAGCTTTGACTAATAATATGTTTCCACAAGTCATGTACAGTATTTTAAATCTGCGGGTTCATTAAAATAATACCTTTTTATCCTGCCACAATGATTCTTGTTCAAGCACTTTGTATTAGAGGTATACAACACTCTGACCACATAGGTTCAACTGGATGAACCTGTGTCTTTATACAACCCTAACAAATATGTAACTATGTTACCCTGTTGTGCTCTTGTCACCGTTTCAAGATGGGCTTTTGATGGAGTTCACAAATTGCAATTTAAACACACATTACACAAGCATGCACCACTGATGTCATCACCAAACCTGCTGGAATGCATGTAGACAGGAAGTGGATGCAGGAGATAAGCAGCACTAACATGCAGCAAAGGATCAGAGAAAAAAAAAAGCATTTAAAACATATTTTGAAAGAACATAGAAAAATAGCAGCCATATAATTAAGCTGAATCAGCAAAACATGTCAATATGTTGGATGGTATTCTGTTTTTATGCTCGTATACCCGGCGATCCATGTTTATCTGTCTTATTTTGGAAAATTCATGATAAGGAGGACAAAACGTGGAACCGTGCACCAGCACTATAAACTTTTTGGGGGTATGTTGGTCACATAATATTTCCTTTCAGTGTTTTTAACCCACCTCCATGGAAGCCCACAGTATTATTATTACTGGTCCGCTGGTTTTCTCTGGGATATTTGTAAAAACAATTCATGAGTTTTCTTGGCAAAGATTTTGTGACCTACAAACTGTCCTAAGAACAATGTCAGTACTTACTACCTTCAGGTTCATGAAACCCACTGCCTCATTTCATAGTAAAATGATCTGTGACAAGAATACAGTATGAAAAAAGGGTTTCTATGTTTAACCACATATACAGTATATGAGAAATATTATCAGCTTGCCGATGGAAGAATAATATAAATGGTAATAGGAAATATTAATGGTTTGGGGTCAATTTTATGTTAATTGTTTCTTAAGGTTTACTCCTATTATAAGATTAAACCATTGTTATATCTGTTTTAATGTGAATAGTTGTATAAACAACCTATGTATTAGGGCTGTGCAAATTAACGATTCATTTCTTGATTAATCGTTAATCTTTTTGATCGATTAAAATTTTTTGTAAACTTTCTGCACGAGCGCCAGCCAAGGCATATACACATACAGCACAGCAATGAAGTCATAAAATGAACTAGGATCACACTAATCCAGCACGTTATTATTCTGAGTTGCCCCACTCAAGCGGCGGCCATATTGAGTGGGGCAATAATAATAACGTGCTGGATTAGTGTGATCCTAGTTCATTTTATTACTTCATTGCTGTGCTGTATGTGTATAGGCCAATGTAGTTGGATCTGTATGTGCGTTATAATTAATCAAAATTAATCGATTAATCGATTAAAAATGTTTTCGATTAATCGAACACGAAAATTGTAATCATTACCAGCCCTGCTATGTATATAAAATATTTATGCACAAACAAATATTTATTACAGGGTGCACCCATAAAAATTGAGCAGTATGAGTTTTATAACAAGAGCATAACAGAAGCTGCTTTCTATCAAGCTCTCTCTCTCTAATTCAGAGGTACTAAACTTTGTCCCTCCAGCTGTGGTGAAACTACAAATCACATTTGGCATTGCAATAATCTGTCAGCCGCAGGCATGACACCCATAGGCAGATGCATGATGGGATTTGTAGTATAATCACAGCTAGAGGGCCAATGTTGCGGCATCCCTGCATCTAATTGATACTTTGTATGGCTACTTGTGATCAGATGAAAGAGGGGGAATAAGTCATAACACTATATTATCTCTTTATAGGTGCAGTCCATTCAAATGAAATTAATGCAGAGAATATAGCCTACCTGCCCTGGTCTTCTGTTTTTCATCCCATCAGAGCTGTAGTGTACTAAATGTGCCAGCTGTTGAAAATACTCTTGCTGTTATTAACCTGGTACTCTATGAACATAATTTTGTGACGTTAGGGTGCAGGCCATTTATCTTCAACTTTTACCTGTGTGGTCTCTATATTTTGTCTCCAAAAGAAAGGAAAGTGTGCCAGTACAATAGAGGTTCAGTTAACAAAACCTTAGCAGAAGGACAAGGATCTTTATTTACAGCCATGTGAGTTCAATTTTCAAATCCCTTTGGTGAAAATAACAGTCACTTTTTTAAAATAAGGATCATAATCCAGGTGCGATGATATCTGTGAAGAAAACGGCCCCTTCCTCAGAATGTGACATTAACGCGTTTCCGGGGTCACGCCCCCTTCCTCAGAATGTGACATTCTGAGGAAGGGGGTGTGATCCCGGAAACGCATTAATGCAGGCACTGTGTGCTGATACACAGGATTGTCTGTGCAGCTCTCTTCAATCATTCACCATTCCTTGCCTTTTGAAAGCTCATTGTGTTCTACCAATGTGAGTATGTTTTTAATTTTTGCCATTTTTTATAAAAAAAACTATCTGCACCAGGGTAGGCACCCCTTGTTTTTGTTTTCTTCTGAGATTTTACAGTCTCCCTGGCTGAAGTGGGGCAGCGACCCGTAGCACTCCTGCATGTCAACCCATAGTGGAGTGGTCTTATTGGCGCTTTTTGTTGATTTTTCACTGATATCTGTGAAGTTCTCATTTAACCAGGTCATGGTATAGCTAGTAGTAGTTAGTCACAATTAACTGGACTTGAACACATGTTGAACACAGTTCACCACTCACCTGAGTGGCTTCTTCAGTTCATGAAGGGTGTGTGAATGGTGGCATGGTGATAATTTATGTAAATTAGATCATATTGGTTTAACAAACTTTCACAGTTCACAAAACCAAAGTGACTGAGTTACCTGTGTGGCTAGAAGGGTGCAGTCACACCGAAATGTGTGCATTGGAGGTGACTCAACACGTTCATTTGCGTTGGCATAGTACGTTAACATGTGTTGTCTTGTGTTATGTTGCATTTTTTTTTAATTTTCACACTAAGCTTTAAAAGATTCTGCCCTGCGTTGATGTCTGTTAGGTTCATGCATGTTAAAAACGCATTGTGCTGAAAAAAGTAGAGCCTGCTCTACTGTTTTTTTTCAGCGCAGGGCAGCAGACAATAATGCAATACACTGGTGTGAGCTGCTCCCATTCACCCCCATTCTTTTTTAGATGTCCTTGCGTTGGCATCCGTTGAAAAACAGATGCCAATGGATCTGAATGAGGGTGTGAATGGGGCCCTAAAGCTGGATTCTGTTCCTGACACTCATGAGAATGGAGAATGAGCAATGAAAAATCCTGAACATTAGAGTACATGTCAAGTTGAATGTGACTTTTACCAGCTTGGACAGTACAAATTAATGTGAAAAGAAATTCCAGACCCTTCCAGAAGTTTATGTGAAAAGGTTGCAGAATCTGGCTAAAATAGATCTCAGATTAAACTGAACAGACTTCCTTACAGTTTATTTGATTTATGTTTCAGGGGAATATAATTGACGCCGATGACCCAAGTACAAGTATTGGTGCCTACCATTACATGCTGGAGACAAACCTTGGCAAGACAATGCTGGAATTTCAGGTTAGTATTTAACAAATATTATATTTGTGATTCTACTGAATCAGTTTTCTAAGTGAAGTAGACAATGGTTACCCGGGAATCCAATAATTGTTTTTAAATGTAGTGTAGCCATCCTGCCTTAAGGAGGAGTGACTATTTATATTTAGAGCTGTCAGATTGTAGTCAGTCTGGTCCTGATTGACAGTCTCTGCTCGTTTAGTTTCTCCTAAGCTCTCTGTGTGTACCTGCCTGCTGCTGGGTGTGACCTTGCTACAAAGCATCCAGTAATGGTGTGTTATGAATAGCTATGTCTCCTTAGTCAATTGTTAATATTCAGGGATGACCTTGTGAGTGTTTCTTCCCCCTCCGGGCCTCCTGCCTTGGGCAGGGATGCTGTGGATTGTATGAACCTCCTAGGCCTGCTGCCTAGAAAGGGAATCAATGTACTCAGACTGAGGACTGGGTCTGAAGCCAAAAGAGTAAAACTTGAGGATGGAGATGACAGAAAACAACCTCAACAGGTATGGGGAGCCTGAGAAGTTGATTCTCTACTGCAGCATGAAGATCTATTCTAAAATGGACTAGTAGCTATTACATCAATTACTATATAGCTAGGAGCTCGACAGAGTTTGCCACAGTCGGCTTAAAGCAGACCTTTACACTCAAACATCAAATTCTACCAATGCATCACTCTATGTATGATGATTAATAATAACATAGACATGTCAGGTGTAAAATGCTGTGATTTTGAAATACTTACACTTGCAGAGCATTCACCTCCTGCTTTAAAAGGGCAAAATGACTTCAGTTTGCCAAAGCGATGCACACTGGGATTGCCTTGTCATTAGCAGACCATTGCTGGAAAATCTCATCTGTAATCTCATGAGATCTTAGGGAAAGGCATTTTCTTCCCCTGAGATGATCTGCATGGCTACATGTCCTAGTCACATGTGCCAGAAATCCAGGAAGTATAGGGAGAACTAGTAATCTGCCCTTAGTAATGGCCACTGTCAGAAGGAAAGAGAAATAAGGAATGCAAAGAATACAAAGCTGGCAATTATCTAGTATGTGTCTGGCAAGTATGTGTCTGTAGATTGTCATTACTAAACATGTATAAAGGTGTGTTTGTTGTTATTCTAAAGATATGGGTAAAGGTCCTATTTAAAGGTTCTCTATCTGTGAAGGCTGCAAGTACTTTTGTTCTATCATTTTTGGTGTCTACAACATCCTGGGTGTCCTGTGCCCTAACTCTCTCCCTGAGTTGTTCCATAAAAGTTAATCGAGCATCATATCATCTGTGTGGAAATCAGTTTGATTGGTCATCACTGGCAGGGTGATGACCAATCAAACCAGATGACCAGTAAGTTAATTTGGGGCAGCAATGGAAATGTACACCCTAGACAGACTAGGTGAGTGCTTGTCAGGAGGGGCACTCAATGGGCCCCTCACCCAGACCGAGAGGAACCGCAGACGCGCATGTAACCTGTGCATGTACTGTGCAGCTCCCGAGCATGGAGTCAACGACTGCCCAAGCATCAGAAGGAAGAATGAGGGTAAGAAGTCCTATATATGTAAGGTAACCCCAAATAACCTACCTTCAAACCGATACCTAACTGTTCCTTTGACTTTACAGTGGGATCAGCAGCGTCTTTCCGTTGAGGCCATGGTGGACTCGGGAGCATGTGGGAACTTTATTGATGCCAAACTGGTTACCTTAAATAAAATTCCATTGCAAAAGAAATCAACGCCTCTCTCTGTCAGTATTGTTGATGGCACTTCGCTAGCATCAGGGCCTATAGCTTATGAAACCTCTCCTATCAGGGTGGTATCCCCTCACAATCACCTCGAACACCACCTAGTTGTGATCCTATCCCTCCCGCAGAGTTTGCACGGATCATTACAGTGCTACAGTAGTTTACTGATTTTATACATTTGCAATTTAACAAACTAAAATTGCTCATACAATCATTATTCAATTTGGAAACACTAGATGATTCTTAGCTGGCCGAGAACAAAACTGCAAATGAGTGGAAAAGCTAAATTTGTGGCATTCATTAAAGCTGAACTTTAGGCAATTCCTTCAAGTAGTGTAACTGATATGTCATACTTTACTATATGCATGTCAACTCCATCAGAGTTAATTGAATATAACCTTTTTTTACCCTATATTAAAACTTTTATTTTCTATTAATTTTCTACTCACTACACTAAAGTGTGACAGTGAACCCTTCAACTGAACCATTTACGCTTACCTCCGCAGTTGTGATCCTATCCCTCCCGCAGAGTTTGCTTACTTATTTTTTGTAGCCACATTTTAGAAGGAAATTTGACTTATACCTAACTATCTTTATTATCTCTCAAGTTTTTCTTTATTATCTATCCTTCTCTTTTTTTCTTTTTGCTTCTTACTTCCTAATCTCTTTCTATCCAGTTTACGACATTTTCCCCTAACTAAATTAGTTATCCCTATAACCCAAGCCCAACATGTTTTGCCATTAACTCTGGGCAACTTTTCGTTCAACTAGCGTGTTGAACCAAAAAAATAGAGCCATGTGTTGCCAGCTTTACTCTTCTTTCTCCTGTTATTAGCATGCTCCATGTAGAGCTAGCTCTGATTAGCTCTTATGCTAAACCTCCCACTCCCCATCTGAGCTCTGTTGTACAGCAACTGCAAGAGGCTGCTTGCATTTAAAAAATAAATTTAATCATGTATTAATGAATACAGAGCTGCATTCATTTGTGCCTTTTATATCTGCCTGCAGTTCAGCCTTTTAGCTTGAGTTGAAGAGTTTGATGATGAGTTTAAACAAAATTAATATGTGTTATATCACTGAGGTATGTATGTACTGTACATATATGTATGTAAGCTGCCCATACAGAAATGTAGATATCTCACATTTATATCCTGCTGGAGTTCAGCCTGTTGCACAGCATAAGCTGCAGTTAGGCAAAAACCTGATAGAGGATCTAACCTTCCTTACACCATCCAGCATTTTTTGTTTACCGGAGTCACGCAAATGATTTGTTATTTTTTTGTTGAAGCTGGGGCCATGACCAGTCCTGATTTAACAAAAATATACACACTACTTCTAGAATACATTTGTAAATGTTGCTTATATTTTCTGGAAAATGTGGGCTTGGTAATGGGATTATTGCTTGGGTCCAGTAACACCTTAACACTGCCTTGTTTAGCAATAGCAAAAAAAGAAAAAAGAAAACCCACCATAATAAAAATCATTGGTTTCCATAGACATCTCCATGTCAAAGAACCCATTACAAGGCAGCCATGAAACTCAAGACATCATGTTAAAATCGGCCAAGCATAGTTAAAAAGTTCCTATACATTTGGGAAATATAAGGATGCAAAAGAATAATTGTGCAGTTAGTATAACAAATGGAATTCAAGGCAACCATTTAGCTATGCACTTTGTCCCAATACTAAACATTTCTCTGCACACCACATAAAAGAGACGCAAGTGGTGCCAGCATTAAACACAGGCACCAGATGATTGTAAAGGAGAAGAAAGCTAGATCCAAAAATGCGCTGGCCAATTATCAGAGCAGTTTAAATAAACATTTTCAAAGCTTGGATTCTGGTTATGTAAGGTGTGATGGCTGTGTCCCGATAGGACTTGTTAATGTGCATAAGTTGAAGCTGGGAGATCTAATGCCTATGAACAAAACACAACAAAAAGAAATGTAAAATGTACTCTGAGGTAAACCTTCGTGTTATTTTTCTAGCAGGAAATTAGTTATTTCCTCACCTTCAAGCCTTAATAGTCAAGAACAGTGAGTGGCCAAAAAATATGCTCTAAAATTTTCCCTTTGGGAAAAGTGGAAATGAAACCCAACAGGGGGTATAGTGAAAGCGTTTTGCCCACACCCATCTGTCTATGAAGATATATGGATTTTATATTGCTGTAATTAAAGTTGACTTTAGTCAACCATTACTCAGTGAAATATTTACTTTTATTCAATTCAAAGGGCTTTTTCCTTTAACTCAAATAACCATTGTGACTGTAAATTGTAAAACAATAATGGGGGGGACTTAAGATATCAGTGAAATTTATAAAGTTGGGTATGGTATGTTCTTTATACTAATATGTTTGTGTGTTAAACCTAATCGGAAAGAACCATTGGCTTCATATGCGTTTGCAGACATCAGACATGGAATTGATTAATGCCGAATTCTGCATGGCAATACTAATTTATAAATAAGTACCATATTTGAAGAACAGTAGAGAGAAGGAGGGGGCACATTCAGATGAAAGCCAAGACAATTAAGCAGGAAATCCTCCTTCAAAGACTACTTGTGATGAACCATGTTATGATTCATTTCGAAATTGAGCACAAACATTCTCAAATATATATATATATATATACATAAGAATCAAACAAAGAACTTTCAAGGACTCAATCCTCTAACCGTGTTGTGTTTTAAAGCTTCCAGCCTATTTTTATTTGTGACTGAAGAAGGGTAATAGGGTAGAAGAAGGGTAATACATGATCTTCCCACACAATGGATGTTCCAGCTTAGCACAACAATGAATATTTCCAGCCTCCTCACTATCTGTTGTTCAACTCTGTATGCTCTTTCAGACAGAAAAAATGCTATAATCCCAGCCTTTCTTTAGGACTGGTTCTCTCAGTCTCTAGATTAGATTTCTAATTTGCTCACACTGCCTAAGCCTAAATGCTCATTCACGCTATGTGCGGTGGCTGGCATTTTTCTGCAACAGACCAATGTCAGTCACAGCTAAGGTACTTAGAACGCAATTGTTTTCTATGTGCCCCGTTCATACTACAGACTTCAATGTCAGGTGAGCTGCGTTAAAATGCACACATGCAAAATGCATACCGTTTGTAATGTACACTTTGAATACGCCAAATAAAGATAAATAAAAAGGCTAAACATAAATAGTGCAGCACAAGGCACCATGGCTTACTGCTGCCACCTAGCACACAGTAGACGCTCAGTAAAATTGCATGTTTTACCATGCACCTATTTTCCTTTCAGAACC